GGGTCACGCGAGGGTTTCAGACAATGTTTACACATGACCTTACAACTGTTACCGAGACCAGATTTCCGTGGTACACAATGGCTGATTGACGGATGTTTTTCTTTCCGTTCATTAAAAAAAAACATATTATTCTGTTAGGGTGGCACGTGGTTGTGGACAGCATTGTACTCTATGAAGGATAAAGAAATCTGTGGCAACAAAAAAGCTATCAGTTTCGCTTTCACGCCTAAACTACTGGATCGATTTTAGTGGTGTTTTGTTTAGAGATAGGTGTTCTAGTGATGGATGTAGGATGTAGACTACGTACCTATTTATTTAACTAAGTTATTGTAATTCTTTGTTATTTTATTGAATAACTTTATAAATATTTTGCCAGTTTCGATTTAAACTTTCTATAGAAGCAAGATGTTGAAAGGAAAATAGGTGAAATTATTGGTTAAATAACAATAAATTACCAACATTTCATTTATGTTTTTACAGTTTTCTTTATAACAAAATTTATAGCAGAGTTATGGTGACAATTATTAATCGTACCTAATCGTTGATGATTTCAATGATTACTATTATCTAATAGATCATTCAAGAACTGTCTGTCAAATTAATTGATTTTCCATTGTTATTTATCGCCACATTGTTCTTTTCTTAATATTTCCTGGTAAAGTCATTGGTCTCTCTTGTGGATAGACACTTAAAGTTTTGAAAATAATCATTGAATTTTCTCTTTTGATCTTTGTTTTATGACGTGGGCTAGTTTTGGTAATCATTTATAGTGTCACTAGCATTTACCCGCGGCTTCGCTTGCATCACAAAAGGATAAAAAGTAGCCTATGCGACATATACCAAAACACACAGCGCCATCTATACCAATACTTTTGTTTTCCCTTGGGAATATCAAATTTTTTAATCGGGATAAAAAGTACCCCATTTTTTAATCCAGACTTCCAACTTTACGTCTGCAAAAATTCAAAGCAATCGGTTTAGTAGTTACGGCGTGAATGCAGAACAAACAAACAAACTCACTTTCCGATTTATAATATTAATAAGAGTAATTTTGGAATATACAATTTCGTTTTAAGTGAAGTGATGCTCCTCTTTTGTTCTTGCATAAGAACACATCACTTCTATTACGTATCTCAATCTGTTTATCTAGTACACTAGTGTATAGGTATACAAAACCACTAATCAGATAAAACTAGATTAAGCTAATGACTGCAACTAAGTAGTACTACTTCAGAATGCAGTTTTATGCAGCGTGACGAACTATCGCGTTACACATGAAATCATCGGATCCTACGTACAGCTGATTTAATTTAACAGGTCACTCGTTGGGTTAAGATGAACAGGTGACGAATAGAGTGGAACCGATGTAAATTGCAATATTTTTTCATCCAGGAAGCAAGCCCATTTACGGGGTGATTAATTTGTTTTTTGTACGCCACATTGATTGATTGAAATCTTCATTAACAATTACCAACACATCGGGAACAAGCAACCGTAAAAAATTCTAATCACCAGATTAGAAGTGTTGAGCAATACGACTTGCAACATTAGCTGAGAAAAACATAAAACTTAGAAAGCAGGTCATTGTCAATGAACTAGAATTGTAACTGATAATAATAATAGCATGTGTGAATAATGTTTTGTATTATTAATTTATTTTGTACTTTACACCTATTCAAGTAATTTCTCACGATCACGGCCACATGAGACCAAAAATGTGACTCGCTATTGTATGTTCTCTTAAAATATTTTAGATATTACATTTATACCAAGGTTTTAATGTGACAGTAATGTAATTAAATAGATTAAGAACTTAATCCGTTAGTTAGAAAAAACGTGACTATTTATTTTTATTGTAATTTAAGCAAGACTAATAAAAATGTTACGATATAGATTCTGATACACTTAAGACTCAAAGATGAAAATATTAGTCATTATTCATTCATATTAATAGGGACTAGTAGTATATTGACATATTAGGAAGTGATTTTTAAAGTCCGAATTACTTCTTCAAAATTCAAAACAATTTAAAAGATCCTGGTCAATACACCGATTTCATTTAATGCACTGATAGATCGCAATTGCTCTGTTTTATCTACGGCAGAAGTACACACGAGCAGACACTTGAACAATTGAAACATCGAGTTGAACATTATATCAAGAGATTAATCAATGCTCGTCACACACCATATAAACTGATACACTTTAATTAAATCGTTAATTAAGAACTAACACATACCTAGGTCTTTGTATTTTACAAGTCATTTTGCGCGTAAGTACATAGTTTCTTTTTCAAAAGATAATTTGTAGCTAATATATGACTTTCTGCCTACAACCTTGTTTGAAGATAAGCGAAGACAATTGCATAGATTAGAACATAACAACGTACTATTAAACTGTGTACTCTGTATATCAATCATACAGTCAATACACTTTTACTTTTTATGTACTATACTTTGTAATTAATATTATAAATGTGTCCAAGGAATCAAAAATGTTAACTAAACAATAATTTGTCACGATACTCTAAATTCATTTACCTGTAACCGTCACGTCATAATAATTAACGGTTGATAACAGTTTAAAAAATCATGTAAGGCATAAATATTTTAGCTGTAAATATGAATTGAATATTTTCAGTAGCTTTCGTGACGGCTTTAAATCAGATTCGATTAATTGACTGTTAATTTGCACGCAAACTATTGTACCGAGGTTAGTTGTAATACAATGTTTAGACCTATTCATATGTAACTGTTGCATGGACAGTAATTCGTTCGTTGTGCTAAGTCAGCCATGCAAATCGCTATAAATGTAATCGATATGCCCTCCGGCCTTGGCCCCGAATGCAGTCCGCTGTCCGCCAGATGAAGAATAATGTTTAAACGGATGACGCCTCTCCAGTTTATGTTGTAAAACTATGCACGCAATCTTACGTTATGTCAGTTATACATATTTGTATAACACTGGATATTATGTATCCTAGAACATATACTTTAAAGTTACTACTATCTCCTACAAACGAAGAATCGTCCCTTTCATATAGCCCGAAATCTTATTTGAAATGATGAACATGTTGATCCTGCGCTGCATACCCATCTCATGTTCATAAGCATATTTTTTGTTTACAAAGAAAAGAAAAGAATACGTCGATATTTACGATACAATGACATCACTTCGCATTTCAAACAAAAATGCTAAACATTAGGGTAACAATGTGCTAAAACCAGCATGAAAACCACTTTTTTCGTACAAACCAGTTCAATGTATTCATCAGAATAAATTAAAATATTGCCGCTGCACCATAACACTAACAAATGGGCATAAAGTTATCAATTTAACATATTCATAAGTTGTATAATTACAAATGTCATGAATGGAGAACGAAGATGCTTATTAATGATGCTAAAATTAACATGGATGCCTTACACTGGCAGTGGGTCACTCGTTATAGTTGCAATCATGTGAAGATCATTGCCAAGGCGGCGGCGGTGCGGCGTGAGGGCATGTTCGTTGTTCGTTAATAATTGTGAAGCGCGCGCGAAATGTTCGCAAGAAAAGCACGTGGAACGTCAAACTGGCGCACGCGACTCATGACGACGCGTTTAATTGAGCTTAAAGTCTTTCGTACATGTGTTATCATCTACGACGCTGATTTTCACAACCTTTTAAACTCAATGATTTTAAACTAATTAGCATTTTACCTCTGTCTATTAATATAACTAGGTATAGTTATATAAAATGGTATATTAGTAGTAAGAAAAAGTTGGAAAACGTAATACTAATTTAAAATATCAAGTCAAAGTTGTTTTCCATTTCATCATCATCAACCTATAAGTAGCCATTGCTGACCAAAGACATCTTCTCCCGCGGAAGTTTGAGCATTAATTACCACGGTTGCTTAATGCGGGTTAGCGATTTCAAACTCACAATTAGAAATTATAAGCCCAGATTCTTCACGATGTTTTTCTTCACCGTTTGTCAATTGTGTCTAGATAATCTTAGAAAGTACATAATAACTCGGAAATTTTCCATTTGTAATACTATAATACATAAGATCAATATATTAAATCGCAAATCGTAAAATAATTACTTGAATTATTACCTCATTCAATCAGCTCACTTTATTCAGTTTCACAAGGATCCCTTAGCGCGAAACCTTGAGTCGTCGGAAGCAGTTTCTCTCAGGACTAGGTTCCTACATTATTGATTACATATATTGGTTATCCTTAATGTCTAGGTAGTATACATTTCATATATAAAATTCAACAAAAGGTGTTAGGAACTTGATTCCTATGATTCAAACAAGACAGTATCAAGTAACTAAAAGTATTAATATATAATTCGTGAAACAAAGATATCTTAGGTATTAGTGTACCTGCTTCTTTGTACCTACATATATATGTAAGTAGTTACTAAGAAGTAATTAATCCTGTATATCGACCGTATAGTGTTAGAATTAGATGCTCATATTACAGCGTTCGTGATACATTATGTTTTTTTTTCTTCAATAAATTAGGTAGATGAAACACGTATTTAGCTACTTGCATAATTGTTTGGGGGTTATCGTGTACCTCAGCAGGTACCTACTAGGTACTAGGTGTTCATTAACAATGAAGTTACCTGTTATGTTTGTAGGTGGTAAACAAATGCAAGTTGGTTTCTTGTTTTGGTTATAATTAAATTTAGGTAATGTGAATATAAACTAAATTGACCGGTAGGTTATTAACACAGGTTATTTATATTAACATAAGGTAAAATTACGATAAATAATTGGTATTTTACCTCTTCACACATTTTGGTATATCTGTGTATAAATTGGTCATACTTAAGTAGCAAATGGATAGTTATGTATGGTTACACTTACACTAATAAATAAATATTAGTTCCATGTCCTTCATAAAATTTACATTATCATTCGTTATTTTAATACCCTTTCCACAAACCAGATTACCTACCACAAAAAATTGAATCAAATCTAAATATTTTTCTCTTTTTTCCAGTAATCCCAGCTCAAGGGACGAATAAGGAGAAAACTCATGCAGTGTCTCCAACTGAGGACGAGGGTCCAGATGTAGTAGCTGATGTGATCGGGAAATTTGGAAGATGGCAGCTGTTAATGACATTCCTGCTATCCCTCTTCTCATTGCCCTGCACATTCCACATTTACCTACCAACATTTACCGTGAGTAACTCCTTTTGATTACAAAGGCGAATTCTAAAGACATATTCTCACACAGAGAAGGAATGAACATTAAAGGCTTGCTCAAAGTGGACAGATATCAAACTTATAATTAGAAATTATGGATCCAAGTTTCCTAACGATGTTTTGCTTTACCGTGTGCCATGATGATGCCCACCATGAATAAACCTATTTTTAGGTACAGATATTTGGCTAGTTAAGCCAATAATTGAATTCCACTCGAAAAGGACACTTGTCCTTTTCAAGGGCTTACTACTAAATGCTACTGACCAAAAAAATGTAATTGTCATGCCATGTATGCAAATTGCTTATGTTCACAATCTTCTATGGTTGTATTTGGACAACACATGTACCCACTATGTACTTCTTTGTGGCTTTTTATTCAATTTTGCTGTTGATTATCCTCCTCATTGTACTCGTATTTAAATTAACATACATGAGCATTTTTCTTAAAATCAAATTAGTGGTTAAAACAGAAATTACGCTGTGGTTATGGTTGCTATTCCAAACTCACGATCTTGATCTGTTTATACAACTTAGATGTGCCTTGTAGTACCTACATACATAATTACATACATTTCACGGTAGGTACTCAGTAAAGGAGGAAAATCAAATAATGACGAGGAAATCAAATAAGTAAAAAACACAATTATACCTGCAGAATAAATAATATTCGTATCTTATGTTAAAAAAATACATTTTCAGGCGAAAGCGACGAAATTTTGGTGTCAGAAGCCAGAAAACTTCTCGAGTTTGCCATTACAAGATTGGATAAACTACAGTCAGCCGGTGGACAGCTGTTCGGTGCGGACAATCTCTGCTGGAGTGACGGTGGAAACTATTTTGAATCATACTGCTCCACTCATAGACTCCTTTCAGAAATGTACAGATTGGAACTATGATAGGACAGAAGTGGGAAGTACTATAATCTCAGAATGGAATCTGGTTTGTGACAGAGCACACCTGACTAGCTTAGCTGAAGTCATGTTCTTGGTCGGCGTTGGAGTCGGCGGAGTCGTCGGTGGTTGGATATCTGATAGGTTAGAATTTAATTTATTTAATTAAACAATAATATGACAACAATGATTCCCACTTTTGTTTATAAAGGTAAGATATTTATTAAATTTTCTCACATTACAGATTCGGCCGCAAGCGGATTTTGATGAGCATGATGGTAGCGCAGAGTTCATTGGCCATCCTTTCTCTATTGGTCCGTTCCTTCGTGCAGTACGTGGTGGTCAGGCTAGTCATGGGATTTGTTTCTGTCTCCGTGGTCTACGCAGCCTTTGTCCTTTCCGTGGAGTTGGTAGGAGGAAAGTGGGTGACCATTGCGGGAGTCTGCAACTTCTTCTGGCTACCCGTGGCATACCTGATTGTCACCCTCTTGTCTCTTCTCATGCCCAACTGGAGAGACCTACAACTGAGCCTGTCCGTTCCCGGATGTCTGCTGCTGGCTTTATGGTAATAATTCCTTTATATTGTTAGACTAGACTTATTCCAGTAGAATACGTAAGCACTTATAGTGCACACAATATCCTCATTACGTTCATTTGTTGCGATCTTACTACCAATAAAACCATTGTTTACAGTAGCCAATAAGTTTATTCTGGAATATGAAACTATGCAGTTGGTACTTAGTTGGCGTCATGCATATATGAGAAGAGTTACGTAATAACATACTATTAATAAAATAATGGTTTCGTAGGTTCGTTCTGCCAGAATCACCGAGATGGCTGCTCAGTATGGGAAAGACTCAGGAAGCGAAAGAAATATTGGAGAGAGCTGCTAAGTTTAATAAGCGTGAATTACCTTCTGATATAGACAAACTGTTAATGTTACACAAAACACATGAGACCACGGAACTGCCTAGTGTCATGATGCTGTTCAGAGGAGTACTGCGAAAGAGGACGATATGTCTATTCCTGTCTTGGTTCTGTATGACAATTGCGTACTATGGTCTGCTACTGAACATTGGAAATTTCAACCTTGGCAACCTACACGTAACGTCTATAATCCTGGCAATCGTAGAAGTTCCAGCAATAGCAATAAGTATCCCGATTCTCTTGAAAGCTGGAAGACGAGTTCCTATATTCATCAGTATGTTGGTGTGTGGGCTCGCGTGTGTGGCTAGCGAGCTGCTGTCGATAGCATTCGATGACGAATGGATCATGATCGCTTGCCTGATGATCGGGAAGTTCGCTATCGGTTCCACGAACATGATGATGCCGATATTCACCGTGGAACTATACCCAACTGTGGTGAGGAACCTGGGTGTGGGAGCCAGCCAGATAGCGGCCGGACTAGCACTTATATGCATTCCGTACTTATGGAGACTGGTGAGGACATTTTTATTAATACTGTTTAACATCTTACTCATCTTTTGTAAACATTAAATAATACCTACCTGTTTTTTAAAGTTGTAAGATTTTCTTTAAGCAAATTTTAAAATACCTTCCCAATTTTTGGGTAAAAAAAAAACAGTTACATTTTTGTACCCTCTTCAAATAAAATTATTTATTTTCAGACGATGATAAATGAGCACCTACCGATGGTGACTATCGCAGCTCTGGCTGCTATTGGAGGTGGAATAGTGCTGCTACTATCAGACACCACTCGCCCTGAACCCCAACCACCTCAGCCTGTGAACGAAAAGAAAGTGTAAGTACTCTTCATTTTGTTTTTTAATCAACTAGAAGACAGAAGACATCCACAAATAAATAAAGACATATAAAATAATACTTCCCATAATGACCACGTTTGGTAGAGATCGCAAACAATAGGTTAATGTTATATATTCACTACCTGCCTGTATTTAGTTACAATTTTATTTTTAATTTATTTTTTTTGTCGATATATTCTGCAAGAATTTGAATAATTACTATTTAGGACATGGCAACCGCTTACCAGACTTGTTTTCTTAACTAAATATTTTATTTAAAGACTTTAAAGGTAGAACTAAAGGAAAAACAGTAAAGAAGTCCTTTCTAATAAACTGATCATCAATTAACTTTGTAAAACAGGTAAAATAAGGTTAGAAACGTGACATTGAAAACGTTTCCTTCAATTTCCATGCTTGTAGAAAAACTGATGGTGTACAAAGAAAACATGCAAAATGGTTAGTCGTGTTATCATGAAAAATTTACACAAAATCTTATACTATTATATAAAGCGGAAGAGTTTGTTTTTTTGTTTGTTAATTTGAACGCGCTTATCTTTGTAACTACAAGTCTGATTTGAATAATTCTTTTTGTGTTGGATAGTGCATTTATCGAGGATGGCTATTGGTTATAAAACATCATGCTACAAGCTGAGAAGAATAAATAAAAATAGCTAGTCGTAGATAATCGCGATTGAATTACGTAGTCTTCATATACGTACATACATTCATATACTGCAAAGTATTCATATAAATATAATACTTTTATCATGGACCGATAAACTAATAATTTCATTACGTACTATATATTAATAAATGTTATACCTGTAATAAAAAAAATGTATTATACGATATAATGAAACACTATAAAAAAATTATGAAAATTTGAAATGGACAACTGTTATGCGATTAAATAGAATAAGCACGCACTTTGTGATCAATTGAGTATTTGGTACAAAGTGAACTGGACAGTGATTAGTGAGAATTTTTCGAATTTAAATGTATAGATTTTAAACTAATGTCTGACGTAGCAGTTTGAGTTGATACAAATGTTGAAGTAATACAATATTATGTGTTACTTCTGTGTGTAGTACCTAAGTATATTTATAAGTATACTCATAAGAAAATGCAATATATTAATAGTGATGTAGATATTAAATTAAGACATTAAGTTAAGCGAAGGGTCTAACCAAACTAGCGATTATTCTTAATAAAACGTAGGGCTCTGCGCAATACTTTGTTAGTTGATAATTATTAGAATTAATTATTCAATCACTTCCCTCATTCATTCAATAAATAATGTATCAATATTAAAATATTACCCAACATTGTTACCGAAATATCAATAAACATAAAATAAAATATACAACATGTAGTTGAACCACAATTGTGTGAATTTGTTCAATTATGGCTAAGTAGTTATGTTCCAAATCTTACACCGGATACCTGACTGGTTGGATGAAATAGTGTTAACTAATATATTTGTTTCTTAATAATGTTGTTTAACGACGCATTTCACATTTCTATGTATGTATTGGATAGCATTGGGATATATAAAATTTTCTTAAATCGATTCGCTTACCTCGTCCTTGCGTAGGCACATAGGGGCCTGCACCTTAAAGCTTAACATTATTAGTTTGTTGATATCGATATTGTAAGAAATGTCCAAGATCATATTAAGATCTTTTTTAAGATCGAAGTAATAGCAGAGAGCAAATAAATGAGCTCTTTGTTTTTAAAAATACTTCTCTGCTACTATAAACTAATTAGCAGTCATACAATTGGAAAAACTATGGTTTTCTGTATAAATTCGTCTGCAAGTCCTCGTTGTAGCACAGATTTCGTATTGATACACAACAAATACAAATCTAGAAATATTAATACATTCTGTAATTAGACGAAATATTTCTACACTATATAATCTACATTGTTGTAATATTTCTGTAATTATCTACCAAAGTAATAAAATTGTCAATATTACATCAAACTGAAACATAATGTTGACTGTTACACCGACTTATTGTTTAACAATATGCAACAACCGAAAATTATTACAGTAATCATAATTTATATGCATGTTACGTTAAAAAAAAATGTTAAAAGGCAACGGTAAATTTTCGTAAAGTCCAATTTAACGGTACATACACAATATTTACATAACATTTTATTGTAATTTATATATTTTAATTGGGCCACTGTCGGCAGTTACAAAATGATTGAGATGTTTAATTAAATTAAATAGTTGTAGTAGTCTAGACACAAGTAAGATCACAAGTACATTGACCATCAACCTACACCAATCTGTCTAAATTATTTATTGGATTTTCTATATGTTAATACAATAAAGTTGAAAATGTAATAGAGAAATTTGACAGAAATGGATAGGTTAACAAGCTGGCCACCGTACAGGTACATTACCTATGTCTGTTGTAACAAGAGATTCGTTTTAGTTGTTGTCCATATTATTATTATTATTATTAGATTTTAAATTGTCGATAGAGTTACAGAGAAGCCAACTACACAAAACTCCTTCTTCTACCTATGATCTTCACCTTCAAAATTATTCATCATCGGTCTCTTATTTTCATGATACGTACATTAATACTACTCATTCATTTATCCTACTTAATCGAATACGACATCGTATTGTATTATATTAAAGCATCCATTTATTTAAGTTTTAGAATAAATAAATAGGGAAGTATGTACCTGTATTTCTTAAAAATAGTTTATTATTTATTGTCTTAACTTTAAGTTAGATTTTAGAACTTAGATGTGATAGTTTCATGTTACCTAACATAAAGTTATCGTCAGTAGCATATAATATACTTTTCCATTAATATTTGGCTTATGTACTTATTTGGTAATCAATGTTAAACATTTAATTACTTATATCGTTCTCTATTACATATTGAATCGGTACGTTTATGTAAAAATAATAATAAATTAAAACACCAATCTGTAAGAATTCGAAAATAAAACTAATATTTTTAATGTTTGTGTTTATTTGTCCTCAATTGTAATTTGCTGTGTTAAATCGATACATATAGTCTGAATACTTTGAGCACCAGTTACATAATATTTGTATGTATGCTGGAGAGTGCCGCGACCGCAATACTGAAGAATTGCCTCTTCTAGTTGCGGTGACCGCGAGTCTTGCTGCGGTCGCGCACACAAATTGACAGGTGGCAGTCAATGCAGTGTGGTATCGTCGGGACATTGACTCCTGCGTCTAGGGCGGCGGTCCCTTCCTCGCCATTACAAAATGTCGGTAACGGTGACGAGCCTGCGCAGGCGTCACTGCAGACGTGACTAGCGTGCGCATGAGTTCCTCAGACACACACGAGCATTTAAAATATGGATATTTAACGCTTTAATTATGACTGACATCTTTCTTGCTTACTTGCCTCATTCACAACGTATAAATAATAAACAATGGTTGGGCCCATATTATTTAAATATAGCTCTGCACGTGGGAAGACGTGTTTCCATGTAAACCCTCATTGAGTAATTCATATCTGATATAATTATTGTTCTCTTAAACTCTTCAGTGGTAATCTTATGATTTCGTTGAACTCTCAAGGCGAGCGATAACGACCAATCTTGCTTAACAAGCGATCGTATCAGAAAATTGTTATTGCTAACTATTATTTATCCTTCGTGGTGAAGTATCAACGAGTCGTAGTTAATTTCTCTGGTCATTCACCCATTGTATACTAACCCAAATGCATAGTATTTAACCGATATGAATATGACCTCGTAACAGGTCCTATTGTGACTCAAATAGAATACGTGTCGAATCAGAAAGCTGTTGAAAAAGGCGATACAGGACGGATAACGGAGCGGGGCGAGTTAACCATACCACTGCGTCGCTAACTCAGTCACTAGTACTGGGAATCACTAGTGAAATTATGCCAAGAGTTTAAATGTGTAATAAGCATGCACAATGTTATTGCATGGAACTGTTCTATGAAGTCTACTTCATCAGTCTATGAACTGGTTTATTGCTAGCCATTTTGTAGATCTTACTACCTAAGTTAACCTAAGCCTTGTTACAACGATTCTCTTGTGATTTTTTCCCCTTCAAAAAGAAGTAGGAATAAATACCACAACAATCAAAGCAGGTTTTCGTGGAAATCCGGGAGAAACACACGATCTTAATTTTCGATCTTTTTTATCTAACGCACATCCCGTAATCGTATGCCGTAAAAGCAGGTGCTGTACCTAAAGATGTCCACACTTTTGCAGTTACATACACACAAATACGTAGTTATATAGTAATAATGACAGTAATCAGAACAAGCAATAAGACTAAAAGAGATTGATCGACTTTCTATGTATCACATAATATTGATTGTCGATCATCGCGGCATGCTCCTCACATAGATAACGTAGAATATACAACAATTATCTAATACATAATTTATTTACTTGATACACTTTATTACCAAATGGTTGATACAATTTAAAAAAGAGTACACATATAGTAACCCTTATACCCTTAAATTTCCTCTAGACTAGGCACAATGAATTTAGATATATCGACATATATGTCTTTTAACTTGAAAATACGTGATATAAACCGTAAAATAGAACAATGAACAAACCCTCACTATACGAGCAATACAATATTGCGTTTATAACTGAAACTTAAGTTATTTAAAACGACAGAAGACTAGTGATATGCAATATCATTAAAGAACGTTTTACAACCAGGATACAATTATAACACCTCACACCTTCGTCGACTTTCCTCTAGATTTCCAGCGAGCGTCGGAAAATTAAATCGAGCTTGTAATGTTTGTACGCAGCGGGGAATGAACTATTATGGCCACAAACTCTCACTCGTTCGTGTTGTGATGCTGCCGATACACTTTCCTGCGAGTGCGTGACTCGACTGCGCGTGAGTGAAACACACTGATGTAACAAACCCCAAATGCATTATCCTGCAACATACCGACACATAACATGACTCCATCCTCTGACTTCTATGTATAATACAATACAATAAATATAGTACAATACTCTACTTAAATACCTAATTATTTAATTTTGTCTGCGCATGAAAATGATAATTTAATCAAAAGCAAGCTGTGATTGTGACTATAAATTCAAGAATACAGTCACAATAGCTCAATAGTCTAGAGTTCTAGCCGCTTACCCAAAATAAAGGACGAATACAAGTAATAATAACGAAAATAGATCGCGTGGTACCTTTACAAAGAAGTGGTTCGAAAACAGCTGCATCTATAACACTTCATATAAGCGTCTGTAACAATGAATATACTGATCAATCATTATTTCAATATATTCATGTTATTATCACGTCAATAGGTAACGTTAATATCATCGCCCACCTTGAGTGTCACATACTAATCTCTAAATGTATTGAACTTACTTACCTAACTCTCTTAACTGATTATAAACTCAACTTTAGTGTATTACAACAACAACAACATAACATCACACCTTTTATCCCCGAAGGGGTAGGCAGAGGTGTAACTTACGGCACTTAATGCCACTGTACAATGTAACACCACTTTTCACTATTTATGTTATGAGTCCCATGTAATAGGGGGTGAGCCTATTGCCATATATCGGGCACAATTCCAGATCGTGCTACTACCGCTTTAGTAAATTATATATTATATATATATATAATTAAATTTATTATATAGAAATAAGATTATCTACGAGCACCTCTAGCAACCCATTCAGGTATTAAATGTGATGTTATGTTATATTATGTATGCTATACACCTAACTATCCATGTTTTATCTCCATTTCGTTTCTAAACATGGAACTGCATTACACAATCCATTTAATTCGAGCATAGCAATGTCATTAAACCACTAAACATTAAAAGTTACAAGCACGATGTTGCCACACCTGACATATCGCATGCTGTGACCATTTAGATTGAATTACAGAAAGTACAATAGCTCCACTAGGGACGAGGCTGATCTGATATCTTAGATCAGTACATGAGTTGAACTTAGATACAGAATTCCTGGGCTCGCCGCCAGTAGGTGCGTACCAATCTAACAATCGTACTTTACTTGAAAACACTAAATTCGAAACAGCTATCTTCTACATTTCCATTCAATTATACACACCCCATAAATCGTCTGCGTAGTCAATCCATTGCAGTTTTTTGCAAATAAAATTCACATAGTCCGAAATAATGTTTTTCGTTTCGTTAAACGTGAACTTTTGATTATTTGAGGTCGAGCAAGACACATTACAAATGTAACTTAAGCAACTGGCCCACAAACTGACGATTTTATTATGTATACATGTGTGCATTTTGTAATTATTTATTCATAAATTTTGCTGATAGACATTTAGGTCAGGTTAATGCTAGCCAAGCCCCAAAGCTAGTAAATGTCTTAGTAAATCCAAGATTATTTAAAAGCAACTCTTTATCGTATGCAATGTTAATAAGAATAGATTAATTTACATAATTAGCATTAGAGCAATCAATGTAATAAAAAATATAGAGCAAAATAAAGAACGTCAAGATATATCAGTAAGTGGTAAACTAATGTTATGATGACTGTATCTTGATATGTCTGCATGGCGGATACGGCGTAATAATATAAATAAATGTAACCTTCAGCGGAGTCGTGAACTACTGACAAATGTTACTAATGTACCTACACTTTTAACTAGATCATGTGTGTGTAAGTTGATTCAAACGATTTCCGACCAAACATTTTAAAATAAATATCTCTAACACTGATCGAACAAATTCAACAAAAGATTTGTTTCAATTGATAACCTTTGTCGCTCAGCAAATTGCTCAAAGTGAAGCCTCAGGGAGATCCAATGGCATTCCTAGGTAATGTCGAGATTGGGCGTGAATTAATGCTTACCTAATACGTTTTATGCTATTCAATAGCACTAGTGGCACAGTTACAATCCGGTTCGCAAGAACCATAGGGCAGACACATCAATAGCCATTGATTATTCAAATAAAAGACCGTCTGAAAAATATTACAATATCAAACTGACTCGACAAAATAGAAATAAGTAATTTGAATAAAAAAAATGTTACAATTCGCTTTTTGAATACAAATAACCGAAACAATAGATTTTTAATAATTAGATCGTTTAGCGGTATCTTCGCGGCTAGCGCAGCCGATTTGTATAGTGGTGCATTTGATTAGGTTCGCGTGGTTCGGGTATGCGTTCACAGTTGGTCACCTTGCAATAAGGTATGGTGGTCGCGTCGGGCGCAGGGCGAGAGTGGGCGACCTCATATAGCTTGCGCGGGAGGCGTTTCCTTTATTTGTTGGTTGTACGCTGCGTGATAGTGACGTGACTCTGCGCAGGACACAGGACATCATGCGTGCTTTGCTGGTGAGTCTCAGTGGCGTGCCTTCCTTCAAGGGCAGTTACATCATTTACATTCCAACCAGTTTTTCCCTTTTTTTATTTATATTCCTTTCTTTTTTCCAAAAATATTTTTTGAAAGTGAATTAATAATTTTAATTGCATTGTTATCAAAGTGCTTCCTAGTTCGTTCAAGGTAAAAATAATTATAACTTTTGTCTTATATTTATCTTAAGTACTTATTGATTTAGATAATGTAATAGTAATTTTTTTCAGTGACTTCTACTAATAAACAATTTTTCATAAAGTTTTAAGTTCATGATAACATCTACTTATACCAAAAACAAATTAATAAATTGCTACTTACTTATTTTTACCTTGAATACAACGATAACAACGAACTAAAAGTAGACTACTTCTATAAATAAGCTCGCTCATAGACTTAGATACTGTAAGGACACAACGTTGTGAAAGTAGACGGTAAAATACACAAATGTTTAAATATTATCTAACTACGTACAGGTATGTCTAGTCACAACAAGTTCTTGATTGCATTCAATGAATAATATACAAGTAAATTAATATCAGTGGAGAATTCAGGTCGATCATACAGGCGGCATTCGAGGTATCGATTTCGCGGCAACCTTGAAGGCGATCGTGAGGTGACAGATAGAGATTACTGCAGTACATAGTCGTCTATTGCTCCAGTGACCTTACAACATACCGATATAACTGCCGCCCTTAATGGCTCACAAAGCGGAACTAATTGTTGTACTAGCTCATAATTTGGCAAGTTAGTCGTTGTCATGTTAGCAGCTGAATTACGTAAAGCACGCAACTTACGGGCAAATGACTCGCGGGTATAGTTATATAGTTACCACACTGGCCCACTGCTACGAACAGGCTCGGCCACTGGACGTAGATACGGACTCGGGTACGAAACGAATAACTTGTTCTATTTCAACAGTTGGGTACATTTAATTGTGGCCATTCACTGCAAAAAGTTAAAGTTCTAAACTCACTAGCCGGTGCCGGTGTTACGCAGTTTCTATCGATAGTAATTTTGTATTCCGAAATCTCGTTATTAGTTTCAATTTCTATGGGAACTAATACTTGGCCTTGTAAAACAACAGATGAAATAACACCTCTAACTTGTCTCAATTTAAAACAATAGAATAGTATAATTTATGTAGTTTTTGTTACTAGGAAATGTAAAAAATGACCATGTTATTTGACACCAAAAAACAACAGAGTATCACTCTTTGTTAGTTCATACAAACTACATTCAAGTTCTGAATTTAATGAACTGTCACCTTACATGCACATTTGTTCAACTTTAAATATAAACAAAGACTTCGGTCACTCAAAGAAAGATGTCGACAGAGTGAAATGTTAAAAGCACTAACATGGTGTGTCCAAAATTAGACATGTTCCCATTTCATGGACACTTGAAATCCTCAAAAATGTCCATTACAAAAAGAATACGTTCTATTTTCAAATGTTAAAGTAATTTCGAAAAGATTACATTAGTCGCTGATGCACTTTTTTTTAGTAAGTTATGACAGGAAAATGGTGTCGTCAATTTGTGTTAAAGTGGAGCAAACTAGAAACAATCCTCTCTTATGGTGGTATATCCATACGTGTTCGTTGTGAATAATATTCCTCGAAAATTAAATAACTCAATTCATATTATTTTTTTCAATTGATCATAAATCTCAGGAATTCCATTTAACGAAACAGAAATTATCACCAAATAAATAGTCAATGTTAAAGCTTATTTTCCCCCATTAAGGCGAGCCAACTTAAAAAGAAAACTTCGCAAGAATGTGTAAGATTGTTCATTCCATGGAATGAGATACCAATCAAGTTTTACACAGCTTTCTCATATAAGTCACACAATACAGTTGCTCAGCAACTAATGAATTACAAATAAATATCTACAGAACTTTCTTACAAACATTAATTTTACTAAAGTTTCTATTAAATAAAATAATTCTAATACATTTCATAACACAATTATATAATTTCATACATAACGAATGAAGGGAAACGGATAAACATATCCTTCAATAATTAACCTTGGTTTTTGCGAACTTTTCTTACGATTACACGCGTAATATGATCATGGAAGTAATGAGGTAGCTGACAGCGATTACGCTGCGTTTTAATTGTCGCCCATTAATGCATGACGGTTACGATGCACCCAGTTATATGATAAATATACACATGCAAAGATAATTGGCCATTCTCCACACTTACTTGTTCAATAACGTGTCGAATATACACCGTTTTGACTACATTTCAATCAGCTTCTTACAAAAGACTTCAACGCGTTGGTGGCGTTGTAACGTCACACTCATTATCTGTTATGCAGTGTCGTCAAGTAACGGATGCCAACACGTAATAGTAAATCGTTTATGAAATATGTAGCGACACCACAACTACTTATTTTTAATATAATAACTTGACGCTTGCTTTTCATAATAGGTTAGCAACACACTTTTTGTACAACAATATAAATACTTGAATAAAATAAGTACATATTTTACTTAAAATTAACCTAAATTATATTTATTTTAATGCCTTTGTTATCCTCATCTACCATCTATAAATTCTCCACACGTTTCACATTTCAAGTTTTTGCGTCAATTACATTAAATTAACGATGCAATGCAACCAATAAATAAAAGTGTGTAATTTGTCAGGGCAATCAACATTTAATTTAGTACTAACACGATTGATCGAAGCACTTATTCTTATGTGTTAGTATTTTATATGAAATTGTCTGAAGCAATTTGACATTTTGATAGATAGTGCAATAATAATTAGGTATTTAGTGTATGGTTCGCCATTCCAACGTAGTCACCTTGACTGGCGGAAGCGTATAGCCTGCGCCGGGCGTCCTTACTCCTTTCAGATCAGTCTCTGCTTGCGCACGCCCTAGACAACTCTCACATAAAAACCTCTATACGTTCAATGTAAACAATGACATACCTACATACATATTTCGATAATAATAATAATTTTATCGTACTTGTTCGTTAGTATTGGCATTTGTAGTAGGATTCACAAGTCACCTTTTCAGACTGATGTAAAGATTAACATTTAGATAATACCGACATACTTTATGAGATGTTAGCTTGTATTGTTTGAATTTTTATATCAATATTACTGAGACGTGATTAGGCAGACGTGTTACATTGTACAGTAGCATAATGTACACCTCTGCCTACTGCCTACTATAAAAGGCGTGATGTTATGTTGTTGTTATTGACACAATTTCATAGTAAAAATTACTGATTTTCCTGTGTACTTATACCCCAGATTTTCGAATTAAATTAACTTAATACAAACAAATATTCGTTTTCGTGTTTAACAACGCATAACTTTCACAATTAAAAGGTTTCTCAGTAGAACAAACGCAAATAGGTAGTGAAAAAAACGCCCAATATACGAATCATCCATAAAAATAATTACTATATATACAGTTCGCGAAGTAATTTAGTATGCAAGTATGAAAATGAAAATGAATATTAATTGTTTAAAAGTATAAATATTGATAGCAAGGATGAATATTAATTCAGTACAGAAACAGTAGCTCTTGTTGCACTAAAATGCACCTATTTCTTGTAATGAAGTCACCATTACCAGTTGTAACGTTCAGTATGGTGAACCTACCCTTATTTTCTTACCTGTGTATCTATTAAATTGGTTAACTGTACCTACGATATGCTCAAATGCAGCTCGATCTAGATCATACAATGCATTCAGCTTTCACGACCGTAGCGAACAATCGACAATTTCCTTATTTTCTAAATACACAATGCGATTTCATAAAAGTAAGAATTGTTGGCTATGGCTGAGCAATTGATCGGCTCATTAGTTACTTGTGTTTGGAATCGGAAATCGAATAAATTCTGCAAGGCACCTATACCTACATATAAGAGCATAACTGTAGATATTATTCTATCATTAGAATTTTGTCTTGAGACTCTACAGTTGATTGTGATTCGTTGTAAGGCCTTCTGATTATTTTTCTATTGGTCTCTCTAGTGATTTTTTTAAGGGGGGAAAATCATCGAATTACTTCTCTGGCCTAGGTGAGGCGGGAGAGAGTGTCAGACTCTTATTGTCTAAAAGACACCCCGTTCCTACTCCTGCACTTCGACCAGGAGGGCTCCTGTAACCCGTTAAGTTCTCCGCGGCTCCGTATCGGCAACTCTCAGTGATAAGGAAATATTTTCCACTTGAAAAACATGTCTGCAAAGCTAACGTAAGCCGGTCCCTAAATACTATGCTTATGTACAAGTATTTTAGAAAACTATGATTTTAAGACACAATATTTTTCTTATCATTTTTTGAGTTAAACCATTACATACATACATACAGTTTCTTTAGTTACAGATATGTATCTATTTATAAGAAAGTATCTTGAGCTCTAACAGACATTACGAAAATTCCAATTCGGTAGATAATATCTTTATGAATTAACACGCAACTTGTAGCACACGCTCGTTATTAAACGTAAGTTCGATAACTTTTTGTCATTCAGCACGTTAATAAAAATGACATATATTGCACAATGCACATCGATTTCCGAAAGTAGGTATAGTGAGTAGGTGCTATTTGCATGTTGCGATAATGTGCACAACTCAACAAGTTACCGGCTCAACAAGCAAACTACATCAGTACCGACAATTTCTCAATAACGATACGATTGTACCTCTAGATGACTGACATAGTACGCATATAAAGACGTAACCTGATTTTCCAAATAAATGGGCAATAAAAATGATTTCTTAATACCTACCAATAGTATTATTATCGATTCGAAATTCGAAATTGGTAATTATATTTTGAATGTCTCGTTTCCAAGTAGTTACCTACCTGTTCTCTAGATACATCCCGTATTTTAAATACAGTTAAAGTATAATTTTTGTACATTTAATTAAGTTTATTAATATTGTAGGAGACATGTGCTAAGTTTAATACTTACTATTCAAACTCGTTTTCTACCAACCACAATCTGATTACTCATGCCTATGTAAAAGACCATCTATGTACAGCAATCCGCGATAACCTTTAGATAACTTTGTTGTTGAAACTAGAAACTAGCGACCATACCTTAATTAAGAGGTAACAGAACATTAGCATCAATTAAGTGCTACTTGCCTAAATACTTGAATGCATTTACATAAATGTTTTAATCCGCAGGAAATTGGCCTCATTGCGATAATGCGAAATTAATTATCATTTCGATAGTATGAAAAGTTCAACAGGACCTAAGATTATGAATTTGTACATAGTGTTGTATGTAGCTACATGAGAATTAAAAATATTCTTGGTACGTCCTACGCACCCATCAAGTAGGTCTGTTTAGAAACTCAACTAAGAGTTTCGTAATGTAATCAAATATACAGATAGGCATTTGTATAGTGCAACAATAGAATAAGAATAAGGTATGCGATAATATCTACATTCGTTGGATAAATTGAGTCAGGTGTTATAAGCCATATTACTTACAAGGTTCATGATACTACTTGGAAAGTGTGCCAGTTCACTGGTTGCGCTGTAAATTCCTTCTACCAAATTGGGCTTAAACAAAAGTTAGTCTGTTATATCGTTTAGTAAGACGGAACAAAATGATCCAGTTGTACTGATAACTTACTCAAACTATTGGTAAAGACGACTTATAAGATTTTTTTATTGAATTTAGGTAAAAACCCAATTCTAGATGTTCTGAAATTCCCTTAAAATCATGATGAATTAGACAAGTTTTAATTATTATTTTTTTCTGTTATTCCAGATATGTACGCTGTGCGTAATCACAGCCTATGCGCAATACAATGACTCACCAGCCCCGCCACGACTGCAGATACCGGGTGCGATCCCAGTCGGCGGACCCAGGCAAGGAGGTTATAGACAGGGACGCCTACAAGCGTCCCCACTCGGCCCAGCAAGAATCAGGCGGCCGGGCTTAGCCAGACCATCGTTCAAATCTGTTGACGCTTCACCAAGACCGAGCCTTCAGTCTCTTGATGAGCCTGCAAAACCGGTTACTGAAGAACCAGAAGATGAATTAGAAATCAATACACCAACTGCTTTTTCACCGAATATATTCTCGACGGCGGAACCGCAAAACGACTACTTCGATATAACGACCACATCTCAACCCAAACCACCAATTGTTTACAACCAATCGCCATTCCCACAATCGACGCCGTCGTCAATTCGTCAACCACTGGAACCTATTAAGCCTACACAGTACCGACCATTGCTGGCTCCCCAAGCTTTCAACCCTGTCAGAAATGAACCACTCAACAAGCCACAACCAGTGAGGCTGCAGCCTCTTTCAAGCAGACCCCAGAGGCCTGTATTCAGACCCGAACCCAAACCATTCATTGAAGATGACGAGGCACCTATCCAACCGGTAAGACAGTACTCACGACCACAAGAACCTATTAACAGGGCACCTCCCAAGGCTCCTCAGCAAAAATACACCCCGTCACACCAAAGAGAGAAGAAGCCTGTCGCACAAATCATCCGTAAATACAGAGATGAAAATGAAGATGGCAGTATCACGTGGGGATTCGAAAACGACGATGGATCGTTCAAGGAAGAGACCATCGGCGTTGACTGCATCACTCGTGGCAAATACGGGTACGTTGATCCTGATGGATTGAAGCGTGAGTACAATTACGAAACCGGTATTCCTTGCGACAAAGCAAAGGAAGAACAGGACGAGAAAGGTTTCGTAGATTACCAGGAAAATAAGGCTGTATTACCTAATGGAATTACCATTGATCTCGCTGCAATGGGCAAGAAATCTAAGAGGCCATTCAGATCACCCGTAAATCATTAGGTTAAGTTTACATTAAATATATTTATTTTAGGAACAATCTAAATATAAGGACATTTTTCGTTGTCTCGTCATGCAAGTGTTATGTGCAACATAACATTTCATTCAATTCAAGTGGGTTTACATGTGCCTTGAATGTACATATAAATGAAAGATGAAAATAATAAAAATGAAAAATTTAAGGTTTTGTTTTACTACTTCAGCAAAATAATTATTGTTACTTACTTGAAACAATATCAGTAACAGTGAATAATTTACATGTTAATTTATGTAAAATGATAAAGCAATTTGTTTCATGTAAAAGATGTAAAAAGCACATATTATTTTCATTAACTCGTTGAGTACATACCGTCATTATAGACAGAATTAAAGATTAATAGGTTGCAGTCACCGGTGACCGCTTGGTGTTTGACAGTTTAAGGAAGTCAAAGACTGACAAAGTAAACTGGATATTGTTACACAATGGGTTTCTATTACAGGTTATACTTATAGATTCTAAATGAAAACAGAGATAGACTTGTAAAATTAGTTTCATTTATTGTGTTATCTTAAAATATTAACTTACAACTAAGGTAAATTTAATAAGGGCGATTATTCATGTAGGGCTGTGCACGTCTCATTGGAGGTGGCATTCTATTTGGTGGCGTTATTGATATATCCAAATAGTTCCCTATTTGGAACTTAACCTGACTTAATGTTTTGTTGTCATCTCCTCCCCGCTGTCCTGAACATGTGACACCAATCTCTCTCATTCTATATGTCGGTGATCTCATATCTGGGTACACAATTGCAAAGTCAAAATATGTTCCTTTACGTCTAGTCTCTGGATTCACTTCTTTGACTAGTCCTGTCAGTTCACGAAGTGTAGCGTCCATCCAAGTGTAAATCTGTAGTTCATTCTGAGGCACATTACCTCTGGCATAATCACCAGGCGAATTATGACGGCCAGTTGAACAAAACACGCGTAATAGTAATGGACAAGTCTGTAACAAAAATAACACGCAACAGTTAAGGCCAGGTATACATTTCAGATATAGGCATGTAGGTACTCTCCATTGATAATAAAGGTACTCTAATAACACTTCAACTTCAAGCAATTTATATCAAATGCGCCAGATTTATGTCAGCATGCATGATAGATATATCAATTTAGCATAATAATAACATAAAATGCTTTATAAATAGTTGTACTTCTTACCTTCTCCCTATCGACCGGTTTCTCTACAGGCTTAACCTCTTCAACTACCATGGACTCTAGTCCTGCCATTTTCATAATAAAATTTAATAACAAATGTATTAGTCACGTCTTGTATTTCTTTAAATGACTGCTTTGAAAATATTAGAACTATTCAATGGATTTTCAAAGCTAGAAATTTGTTTCAGTTTGACAAGTAAACATGTTTTATTTGGCTATGAATAGAGTGAATCATAGAGTAAAAGTCTAATCTGTAATCTCTATGGTTGAGCATAGTCAAGACTCTATTCCATTTATGAAAAAAGAATCACTCGGGTCTCGGGTCCACGTTCGTGTCATAATCGTTTCAATAATAACGAAATCAAAATCAGGATCAATCAGGGTAAGACTTACAATTTCTATTTTTGGCTTTCATCACCTTTGTAGCTATGGGTTAGCTAATATAATTATAATTATTATCGTGCAAGATATTTTATCAGCGAATTAGCGATTGAAAGATAATAACCATTCTTTTGATACCAACCAGATATCAAAATATTATCTGAAAAATTTATTTACTTGATAACATTAGAATTTAAAAATGCAATATTTAAAGTAGGTACTTATACATAATCGTAATAATGTTACGTATAATAATCATTATATAATGGGGCTCCTTTTTTGTTGGAATAGGATAATTTTATGAACAGCCGAAAGGGATTTAGACTTTTTATCAGACCCTGACTATAAAAAATAATCTACTACTCAAAAACTTGCTAGTAAGTTCTAACGTCCTTGATAACCCTATGAATCGTATGCATGTTATGTTTTAAACTTGATTTCAAAATACCAATTTGAATATTTACTAATAAATTAATTTAAAAAAATATCAATGAAGATAATAATTTGAAGAAAAGATTTTGAAAACAACAAAAATTTGACATTTCTCATGCTGACTGACCTGTCAAATAGCATTCACTGACAGAAGAAAATAGTAGCTCTATCTAATCGATATAAAATAAAAATACATTCTGTACGTTGATACTGATATTATGCTTTTATATAGTGAATCAAATAACATTGAAAGTCTGTAATACAAGTGCGTGTTTAGCGTGGTAGATAGCTTTGCGATAATGGCTCATAAGGAGGACGAAGACTCATTTCGAGAAGACGACGTATACATCAATCCAGAAGATGGAATGCCTAACGTACATCCTAATATTGCTAATTTAGAACAAGAGAGCGATGTGCAAGATGAAGTTGACAATTTCGATGACTTGCCAAAGTCTGTTATTGTAACAAACATACACAGTGATGTTTTTGCTGATGAAAAGTTGAAGAAAGGAATGGAAGATTTATTCCGCACATTTTCTGATAATATAACGTTCCAGTGGCTACGCAGTTTTAAGCGTTTACGTGTAAACTATGACAGTCCATTGGCTGCTGCTAATGCTCGAGTGCAATTGCATCAGTATCAGTTCCATAATTCGCCGATCAATTGTTACTTCGCGCAACCTGTGACGCCTGTTTCAATAAAGAATCTGAGACCTCCAGCTCCTGTAAAACAATTTCTGATCTCCCCTCCATCTAGTCCTCCAGTGGGTTGGGAGCCACGTGAAGAAAATGAGCCATTGGTAAATCATGATTTACTGGCAGCATTAGCCAGTCTAGCTCCTGGTGAGAGTCATGAACTGCATGCACCTACTCCTACACAACCTGCTATCATTGTGCACACTGCTGTGACATCAGAGCAGACCCCGGTTGTAGCAAAGATACCTCATACTCGTTGTCCGGATTATTGAATGCCTTTTGAAGAAAATCTAGTGACTATGAATTAGATTAGTAGTAATTTATGAATGCTTTTTATTCAATTGCATGTCAATTTTTATGACAAGTTGAGCCTAAGACATTACAGCTGTCTGAGAGTTTGCTGTAAAGTGAAAGCTCCACAAAAAAATGAGCTTTAGAAATTTATTAACAAAGTTAGACTAATAGTAGTTTGCTTGATGATACGGATATTTATTTAACAGAAATTACACATAATTAAATTGGTGCTATGTTTTATCAAAAGTATATTAATTAAAAATTGCTTATTTTTACTTTAGTTATACAATTCATTGTCATTTTTCAAACGTAATAGGGTTCATCACTTCATTATCGTTTAAGATTCCATTTTAAAGTATGGACAATAGTTGGAAACATATCAGAAAGCAAGCCTTCTAAATATATATTAACTCCGTAAATAAGGTGGTTGCTCAATGAAATTGGTGTGTAATTCATAAATTTTTATTAATTTTCTAAAACTAACTATTTTCTATAATTCAGACAATTTCATAAATAAGCCTGTTGTGTGTCGGAAAGCAGATCCACATGAGACAAAATGCATTTTCGGCAGTCAAGAAGTTAACTGGAATAGATTGGCTATGTGTACACCAGGTTGGCAAACAAGAAAACTCACTAAATACAAAAATAGTATTTGATAACTTACTAGTAATTTATTACTCATATTTATATTTAGTTTGTGGACTTGTAAGCTATCCTATATTCTTGGAACATGCTCTCTTGTTAGCTGTCTTTGAAAATTTGTATAGAAATTTAAAATAAATTCTTGTAAATTAGAATAAAAATTGACTTTAATTTTTTTTTCTACAGCCACCTTTGGTTGTAATATTTTTTGTTGTGTCAATAGTAAATTTTTAAAGTCCATGTACACTGTACATCCATGTATATATTTATTTATTTATTAAACAGGTTCACTTGTTGAGTAATCTCAATTTTTTATTGTTACTAACTTATTTTAAATTATTCTTAGTTACCATTTGATTTTGTAACCAAAATTTTTGCTTCAATTTAACTAAAAAAATATATTGTAAAAAATTAGTAGCATTAGAATTTTGTGATAATATGTCTAAATAAATGTTGAATTTGTTATTCATGTGGGTACATATGCCTAAAATGTTTGAATGGTTCAATGTACACTTGTATGTTCATAATAATTTAATTGAAATTGAGACAAGATATGTGCAACAGCATTTGCTATAGATGTTTCTGTAATTTAATTCACTATGTATTACAACAATTAAACAATTCTGCACTAGTAAAGACTAGTGCAGAATTGTTTATATTCAAAGGAATATTATGTAAATTTTTTATTTACTTTCAACATTGAACTGTTTAAATATAACACATTTCTTAAAAACCAGAGAAATTATGAATGTTAAAAATATGTACCTATTGTTAGAATTAATATTGTTGTAGTTTTTATAAACATTTTACAAGTAGTAACTTGGCAAGCTTTCGGGAAGCTGTACCTATCTCTCGAGATACAAATTAAAAATATTGTGAAAGTTCCTTTGTTATTTTTAGATACATTTATTTGAAAGATTGGCACTGCACAGGCACTATTTGCGAGGGCCACATGATATTAGAGTTGAATTTAAATGAACCAACTATTGCATTTTCTAGTTATACTCGTACATACCTTATGGTATGTCAGGCAATTAATACCTAGTAGTGGTAACACATACACGTAGAATTTTCTTATTTATTAAAGGCTTCAAAGACCTATTTAAATCATTAGCGTCATTGTTGTGATTCGCCATGTTTGGCTCAGAAAAATATTTTGATGAATTTGTTCCGAATTAGACCATGTTGAAAGAAATGTTAGGATTTCGATATTTTTACGAAGAAACAGCCAAATGCGAAGTTTATTAAAAGATCTACAATAGAATACATTTGGTTTTTGCTTTTTGTCTGTTTGTTAGTACCAATTTACCTATTTATTATTATTTATTTGTTCTGTTTAGGAAATCATGAATTAAAATTAAAAAATAATTTATTGTAATTTCTGAGGAGGACTGCTGTTTAAGTGTAAAATTGCTGTCTTTTAGTGTTATCACACACTAACTATTAGATAATATTTTCGTAGGATTTATCGTAATAAATTTAGAGCTTTTAGTGCATGTAGATACCTATCATTTGGATGGAAAAACCATCATTCAATATTGTGTTAAGATTTAAACCAAATTAAAAATAAATTATCTAAGAACTAAGAAAAAATTAAAAATGTCTCATTTACCTATATTCGAAAGCATTTTCATCTATTAAGTTACGAGATTGTAAAGTTCTCCGCAGACTGAAAACAAAATTCACTTAAAATTATTAAAAAATATGGAGCTATCCATCTCAAAACTCCTTAAGAATTGCTATTACGTTCTTGTATATTTTCGTTTGTAGTCTGCGGTAGATCTAAATTCTAAATCAACCATAATTATTGGCATAAGTATCTATGTATATAAACTATGATATGTAAATTTACATTGACTGAAATGACGAAAGAATATCAGATCGACTGGTAGGTATGAAGTACTACCTTTTAATCTCTTATGAATTTCGGCAAAGTTTCAGGTTGACCAATCTTCAAACTACCTACTTTCTTTTGTAAATAATTACTATTCAAAACCATTTACAATCAGTCAAGTCATTTGGTATACATGTAAGATTATTTTTGCCTCAATGCCTCATTTAGGGCGGAAGGAGCCATTTGAAGAATATCCATCATAAATTATTATTCGGCTTACGTAGCTGTTTGACGAGGAACTCGACTAGTTTCAAGCTAAAGGCTCATATTCATTAGCAGCATTCCGCGACACGCGACGCGACGACTGTCGCGCTGCTACTGAATATGAGCCTCTAGCATGGCTTGAAACTAGTCGGGTTCCTCGTCAAACAGTAATGTGAGTAAGCCGAAACCATAATAATTAAAATGCAGTATGTCTTACGGAAGTTTAAATAGGTATAAACATTTTCTATCCTCACAAAAAAAATAAGAAAGTTATAATTTTCTTTTCCACTTAGGTACCTACCAAATAACTTGGCGCTGATTGTACTTATAGGTGCCTAATTGCGGCTCATTTAAGGGCCTGAAATATTTTGACATCCATAGTTTAAAGTGAAATTTTGTAGGTTACGATTGAATTTCTTATTACCTTACCTTTGAGCTAGGGCTGGTCCAAATCATAAGAAAGTTAAAATTGTTTTATGAACTTTAGTAGGTATCTGTGTTGATTGTAGAATTTGTGAATTGTCTTATAAAAAGTACTGTATAGTGTTACAAATAATAAATAAAAAACCAAGCACAGATAAAGTGACTGTCCATTTGTTTATGAGTCAACGATGAGATGGGCAAGCAGCATGCCACGATTGTATCTTCTATACATAATTAGGTATGTACCTACTGTTAAAACATTCTCTATGTCGTTAATCCTCTCCTTGTACAAAAATCGTCAGTGTAAAAGGGTTTTTGCCCGTTGTGAATCATTAATATTTACCTAAGTATGCTTATATCTTCTATATGTTCGTTGTTCATACATCGATGTATCATCTATTGATGTTTTTAATCTCACTGTGATTTTCATTATTGTTTGTGTAAATATAAAATTATAATGAGTTTAATATCGACTTTTATTAAATGAAACCAACAACTCGTGTAGATCATATCTATAATTTATTTTAGGTATGTACATTTTTTTTACAAAATAAGTAATACAACGAATTTCTTGTAACTACAATATTAATATCACACCAGATCACGAGATTCACGAGCACCAGTATGCTACCAATCTAAGCTTAATATCAAGCATAAACAATAAAAACACAAATAACAAAATAGTTTAAACTTTATAAAAATAATCGTAATACCTAATTCATAAATGTAGGTAGGTATTTATTTTGGTGATACAATACTGCCAGGATATTAAATGTGTGAATGTTGACACGAAATAGTTCCAGGTTTCCAGTTCTATCATCTAATGTGTTCCAAAATTCACAACAAAATTCTGCTTAAAACTAATTTAACACTCAAACTAACAGAACTTCTTGTTTATAGGTATAAGAAAATAGTAGGTACCTACAACTGACCTCACATGAGTAGGTACTGGGTACCTGCTTTGTTCGATCATATAATTTTATTCACTTACATAAAATTGAAGCTCTTGTGTATACTTACATAATTAAAAAATTGTATATTCAATTTATTTATTCAACCAATAGGAATCGACGAGCGATCAAACTTTCTTACTCCCGTCCTCTAAAGGCACCATTGATTCAGCAACTTTATTGTCCTCAGAGTAAGTTCTTTGTCGTTTATTTCCTAAGCAACTTGCAAAACATGTATCGCCTTTGCCAAACTGTTCACCATCAGCAAGAGACTGAGGCATAGGTTGGTTCATAGTCTCCGGTAGGAACATACATAGGAATCCAGATAAAACAGCAACTGCGCCAAAAGTTATAGCCGGAATTTTAGGATTGAAAGAATCCAATAACGTTATAAGTGGTGTTAAAGCACCAGAAAGCCTAGCGCACATAGAACCCAGACCCATAGCTGAGTTACGTACTACTGTAGGGAACAATTCGGCAGAATAATTGTATATGATAGCAAAAGAACCAGCTATAAACAATTTACCTGCAATGACAATCCCAGTAGATATCGTACTTCCAGTAGGTAAGAATGTAGCAATGACACATGCTGCACCACCCACCAGCATCATAGAACTAATCAGTGGTCTTCTACCCCAAATATCAAGGAAATAAATGACAGCAGCATAACTTGGCAGTTCTACAAAACCTAAAATTGCTGTAATCAAATATGGGTTGCCCTCGAGTTTACCTGTACTTAAAGTAAGACCATAGTAAGCTATTGAGTTAGCAAACCAACAGAAGCAAACGTTCAGGGTTTTGTTTCTAAGATTAGGTGTTCTAAACAGATCTCCTGTACTAGCGGAAGGAGCATCCGTTCCTTTCGATGCTTCAGCTCGTCCTTTAGAAACCAATTCCGCTCTATCCAGTGTAAATTCAGATTTATTGCATTTCAAAGCTCTTTCAACAATATCTACTGATTCTTTTGATCGGCCTTGAGCCCACAACCAACGAGGGGATTCGTCCATAATCCAGATATGTGGGATAAGAAGGAGACTGTGAAGTCCATATATTACTTGAAGAATTTGTCTATTGTCAATAAGGGCGCCCCATCCTGCCACTAACATAATACCACCTGCGAATGCCGCTTGAAAAGCGACACCACACGCAGTTCGCTTGCTGGCCCCAACTAATTCCATAGTTAAGACGAATCCGGTAATATACGACCCTGCAGATCCGAAGATTCCGTAAACAAAACGTACTGCCAAGAAGGACCAGTATTCAGGTATAAAAGCAACCATCACACCGAATACCAACTGTAATACTCCAGACCAACAAAATATGGTCTTTCTACCGTATTTGTCAGCCATTCCTCCTAAAACTACAGCTCCAGTAAAAACTCCTAACATATAAATAGATTGAGCTAGTGCTCCCATCCATCTTCTATCACATACGAGATCCCATTCCATGGAACGTGAAGATGTTCTATATTTAGTGTCGAATACGAATTTGGAGCATGTTGTAGTTTCGTTATTTTCATAAATATAGCAGTTAGATAGACCTCCAGATACGGTTCTAGGTATAGCAGCTAATATTTCAGAAGAGTTCCATGCTGCTACAGACACATTTGTATCTACGCCGTCGACCCAGCACCTGCAAATGAAAAAATAAGTTAGTTGATCCTAGTACCCACGGAAAAATCAATGCGTAGATCTGTAGTAGACATATATAGTTTAACGTGTCATCCATAGTTTTTTAGTTAGTATGAGATTATAGGATTTTTGTAGCCTATTTATTTACCAATCCACCAGTTCGTAGTCTAGTAACACTTACTCATTTGACGCAACTACATACTGTGCGTTTTTCAGAAGGAAATGTGCTATTCTTAGTGTTAAAGGAGCTATGAGGGTAAAACGATACTATAGAGCACCATGACTTACCATTTAATAGTAATAAGTTACCAGTTAATAATCAGGATAAAATCTAACGTAAAAGTCACCTAACGTAACATCTACTGGGCACTTACATTATTAATTAATCAATTAATAATTTAATACCTACCGACCTCTTGTAGCGCCTACTCCCTTTTCATAGCAATGGTCCGTTTCTAAGTAATTATATTAGATACCTACCTAACTTAATAATTAGGTACGTTTAACGACCTACGAGAGACAAGGAGGAACCTACGTGACAATTAAATTCTAATGTTAGGTAATTGATAATTTACTGATTTTAGCTGGAGTAAATTGTTATGAATTAGTGTTTTTTTTTAAGTTTGCCATTAACTCGCTTCGTATTTAATTACTACAAGTCACGTCACCTTGGCCGCTTTGTAATGAATGAGCGCCTTATTCTCAATAGATAGCAAAAACCTTAGAGTGTGAAATAAAAATTTGCAAGACCTTGTCTAATATTTACAAACAACTAGCTGGAGAATTAACTCAGATGTCGCTTTCTACGATATCAATATTTTTCTAAGATTGAGGTATTATGAAATTAATAGGTATATTTTTTCATTCAAATTGATACAATTTGTTGTTTATATAATTAATAATTATGTGTCAATAGTTATTTCTTTCATTTGTCAATTAGTGTCCCTGTGTTTCTTATTTAAATATATACAGTATACACATACCAACCTACTATCGAAAACAAGCTATGAATGATAAATTTAAAAACTTATTAAGTAGTTGGTCCTCGCTATTGGTTCCTTTCTACTCATACATACCTACATATGTAGCAATGCCATTTATTTATTTATTTTTAACAGTCACAACGGCATAAAAATCTGATTGCTTTAGCATTTTACTTATTGATGCCTGTTTCTGTTAGCTTAACTAACATAGGTAGGTAATATCTGATACGTTTCCTATGGAAGACACGTCAAACCATCTGCTAGTCACTCTACCCGAAACTTAATAGAATTAGTGAAACAGAGCCTTAGAATTAACACAAAATAAAAATACGACACTTGTAAAAAAATCTTTATTAAATTCGTGTACACCGTGTAATTCATGCTTATCCTACATTGACATAGTCTTTAAAGTTCATTAGTACATAATAATATGATACTTATATAAAATAATAGAAATTAAAACAGAAGCAACATGTTTAATGCATTTCTTAAAACATATGTATTATTAATATTAATATTTTTCTGTTATAATATCAATAATATAATTATTAATATTAATTTATAATATGAATTATAAATTAATAGTAAAATATATTAATAATATATTATTAATATTAAAATAGATGTAAAATGTTACTAACTTTTTAATAAACGCTTACTTATGAACAAGACTGTTTGATACAAAGGTAATTAAGCAATTACCTACCTGTCCTACTTCATTGAATACAATGCACAGATTACATTAAACCAAAAAAAACTAAGTACTCTCAAATTACTTAGCTATCAATTCATCTTCAAGATAAATATCGTTTCTTGTGAGTACTAGATATTATGCTATTTTTTGACCTCAAAATCGTAATTTCAGGCAAGCTATTTAATTTGCAAGTAAAGATTGATTCAGTACAGTGACGATACAAAAGATTCGTTATATGTAGAGCATAATATTTAGCTACAATTAATCTCCCTGCATACCAAATGACTTGGGTTTGATCATTATCTTATTTCCGTTGTTCCACAAGTCTCATACAAAATTAATTGAAATATAGGACTATACTGCTCATAAATATGAATCCTGGTACGACTTGAAATTGATAGATCTTTCTCCAATAGTTCATGTAAGTATACCGTATGTTTCAATTAAGGAATACTCATATCTATTTCTACCCATTCCTTTCTTTGGTCACTCACACTTCACATCCACAAAAAATATAATATTTTACATTAAAAGATTTTTATTGCTAAACAAACCATATTTTTCCTGTAATACAATTTAGCCCCTAATATATCCCTGTTTATGATACCTTGTTCTCTTTTCTTAATAACTTTTCCATTCAGTTATTTAATTAAAAAAGGTTATTGTACACCATGAGTTTAAACAATAGGGTAGTTTCCTAAATTTTATTTATAGTCCGTCTGGTACATTCAATATAAAAACTTTAGACACGTATTTTTTCTTTTCTTACAAAATTCAATACTTTCGACGATATATTCATTTGAAATATCGTGTGACGTCACAGCGTGCCACATCTTGTAGCACATTATGACGTAACGACCTACCACTCCTAAACTTAGCGCCATTTTATCTAAGTGTTGCAACTTAATACGAGAAAAAAATACGTGTCTAATATTTTTTCATTATCTAACTGACGGACTAATTAGATTTTTAATTTTGATACCCTGGAAACTACCCAATTATTTTTCATTGAATTGAAACTAGTTATTGCTTTTTTCAGTCTTGGCTTAAGTTCGTGATCATTAAACAGGTACCTATACAAAAAATCCCTGGGATATAATTGTAATTGCTGTAAGTATTAAACCGGTGATTCCTATATATAGCTACCTACTTTATGAAATTTCTTTACATTGAATAACACAGAATAATAATAAATATCCTGGCACTAATGAACACTTGAATATTTTATTCACGTACTGTACTGTACGTATATTCTGTTACCAAGTAATAAAATGTAAAATGGGAATTGATTAAAGCTACCTAGTACTTAGAATCCAGCTATTTATAGTAAACCTCATAAGTGGTAGTGGTTATGCAGCGTGTGTCAGCAATGTGGTTAATGTTTTTAATTTGAATACCGTGTAACTTTAAACAGGTAATAATTCACAGTATTCAGCTCTAATAGAAGCAGTAATAGATACATAATTTCTAAACCAATGAAAATGTGATATCTGATAAGCACTGGGAATAATTTATTTCTACTCCATTCCTAGACACTAACCATACACATAAATGACTTGCTCTTTAACGTCTAAATGCTACAAAATACCCTTAAATTACTTTCTAAATAAATTAATTACATTGACGCTTGAAGCATAAGTACTTATTTATTAGAAAATGTTTCGAGCACAAACTGGCAGTGCTGTTATGAGTATGTATGACCTTTATTGACTATGTTGCAAGGTAATAAATATAGATAGTTCATTATTTAACGCGTAGGAAATAAATCCATTAGCTTAAATAGTTTCTGGCTCCTGATTTGGTGTCTATATGAAGACGTTTTTCGAACCAATATAACATTTTTTCTTTGTTACATATAAAATTGTAGAAAGAGAATGAATGTTTATACCGGTTAATAGCAATAAGTTCGTTCATTCATTACTACCCTGCGACATAGGGGCGCCTCCGAGTGTGGCATTATTCTAGCGCGAGCGTAGGCGTTAGTCGACGTAGGCGTATCTTGGCGTGGCGCTTTGGGAAATTAGAGAGAATAAATATTTTATTGTTATGTATTTTTACACATTTTTCTGTATAAGCCCGTTTGCTGTTTGGAGTGTCCAAGAGATTGATTAGCTCTAATACTATTAATCAAGTCTAAATGCATAAACATGTACATTATAATTATGTAAAATAAAGTTGTGTTCATATTTGGTTCCAATAAAGTATCTACGCCTACTAAAAATGTCTATGTCGCGTAAAGACTACGCGTCGTGTAGCAAAGCGACTCCGCGGCGTGTAGCACAGCGACTACGTAGCGCGTAACATAGCGACTACGAGATAGCTAGCACAGCTACTACGCAGCGTATAGCACAGCTACTACGCCGTGTTTAACGTAGCGACTACGGGTGTGTGCTACAGCGCACGTAGTCATTATGCTTTGCTACAAGGTTTCTATGCCATGCCTACGTCAGAGCTCACTAGTCAAACGCTAAGTAGAAAATAATTCAAAAGTAAAATAGCCAAAATGACTAGGCGAATAAGTAAGTACGAGACTGATGTAAAGGACCAGAATTTGTAAAAATATATATATAAATACATGTTCTACGTATTGTGTTTGTAGTATGTGATTTAAATAACATAACAAAGAATTATTATTATTATTACCAATAAATTTTTCATAAACCAAAGACTATAAACAATCGCATTTTGATCTACTTGGTTCTGCTTTACTGCATGTAAGGATACCAATAGCTTGTGCGTATTCTTCAACATCTATTTTCTAAGACACTATCAGTTATTAGAAACCTCATTTTCAAGGAGAATCTTAATATTAACTACCGATTTATTACTAAAAATACCTTACGTTCTACTTGTTAATTTACTGCCAGGTATAAATTCTTTGTTATTTCGTATGATCACTGATTTAAAAACGTAAGTACAATACTATAATATTTTTCATAGGTAGTAGACCAAGTAATCAACATAAATTTTAATTTAATTGAAATAATCTTCAAAATTAAAAATTTTGTGGATTTTCCATCCAAGACTTTAAGAATGTTGTTTTATTTGCAGTATTGTACTTAACTTCTACATGTGTACATTCAATTGTACTTTTCATTGCTTACTTATTACAATAATATATGTACTATTTTACTTGTTAGATAAGTCCACTTTATTATTATTCCTATTTATTATTAGGATAATCATCCAGTCTTCAGCAATACCGTCCACATGAACGCGATTTGCCTGATATCAACTCTTGACTAGACAATTTAAAACATAACAGTAATCCTAACGCCATCTATTTACGTATATAACCACTTAATTACTAATTTCTTCGCAAAACAGTAACAGTTACATAACACAAGGGAACTTCACAGTGTAAAATATTGTTAAGTTGTGTACAAATACCAGATAAAATTAAAATATTGAGCAAAGTTCATAAAATGCAAGTTTTACGTATGTTATTCATTAATATGAGACATAGTCTTAAGTCATTACAATGGCCTTATTACTTGAATTGCTTATTCTTAAGACGCAGTTCTGGACTATGGCAATGCAAAAGTTTTACCTATAGACCTTACAATACAGTACAGTCTTTACGGTTTCTTCTCCATAACTTCTAACGGCACCATTGTCTCTGGCAAGTCCACGGTGTCAGTACTCATTCGTCGACCACTGCAGTTTGTGAAGCAAGTGTCACCAACACCGAATTTCTCTCCGTCTTCTAACGATTGTGGCAAGTTCCTACCAATTGTTTCAGGTAGGAAGTATGTTGAGAAACCAGATAATAGAGCCAAAAATCCAAATAATATGGTAGGTATTTTAGGGTTAAGTGTATCCAGCAAGTTAATAAGTGGCGTCAGAGCGCCCGACACACTTGCGCACATACTGCCCAGCCCTACTCCTGAGCTGCGCACAACTGTCGGGAAAAGTTCTGCAGAATACTTGTATATAATTGAGTAGGAGCCAGATATAAATAATTTACCTACCATTACGATGCCTGTTGTTGCAGTCGAACCATGGGGCAAAGCAACAATGACTAGACAAGCGACTCCTCCTAACAACATCATAGTACTGATAAGAGCTCTATGTCCAACGCGGTCTAAAAAGTATACAATAAGAATATAACTGGGTAGCTCTACGACTCCCATCAAGAACATGAGGAAGTAAGGATTTCCGTTCAACTTGCCAGTATTTAGAGAGAGGCCATAGTACACTACAGAATTGACGAACCAACAACCGCAAATGATGAGTGTCTTCTGCATCATTCTTGGTGTTTTAAACAAGTCAGTAGTTCCAGCAGAATGTTCATCAGTATATTTGGCACAAGTTGCCTTACAGTGGGAAACTAGGGCTGGCGTATCAACAGGGTCAGTTACTCCATTGAATTTCAGAGCCTTCTCAATGATGGCAACAGATTCACGAGCACGCCCCTGAGCCCAGAGCCACCTTGGGGATTCGTCCATAATTAGCCAGTGAGGAAGCAATACGGCTGCGTGTAACGCATACACTATTTGTAAATAGAATCTGTTATCTAATAAGTATCCCCAAGCGGCTAAAAGCATTATTCCAATGGCGAACATAATTTGAAACGTAACACCACATATAGTGCGCTTACTTGGACCAACTATTTCCATCGTCAAAACAAACCCAGCTATGTATGAACCGGATCCGAAGATACCGTAAAGGAATCGAATGATTATGAAAGTATAATAATCTGAGGCGAAAGCAACGGAAGTTCCTAGAAGGAGTTGAAGGATTCCAGACCAAAGGAATGCTTTTTTTCTTCCGAATTTGTCAGAAAGTCGCCCAAATATAAGCGAACCAGCCACCACGCCGAACATGTAGGCAGTCTGCGCTGAGGCTCCCATCCAACGACGGCTGCACACGAAGTCCCACTCGATGCCGCGAGACGACGAGTAATACTGGGTATCATATACCCAAGAATCACATTCTACGAGAGTCTTATTGTCTCCATACATCCGACAGGAGTCGAGTTTCCCATGTTCGTTGAGTGGAATGGCGGCCTGAACCAGAGACGAATTAAACGGCGCCGTATAGTTTGGAAAGTCTATCCCTTGCAGGTAACATCTGAAATTCGAAAAACGAACTTTTATTGTTCTTACATTGTTTTTGTTAATTTCGTGCTGAGGCCGAGCGTGCGGTGCATTAGGTTAGTTGCAATTTTATTACTTCACGCCATTCTTACTAATGGGGTTAGACCTGTTTATGAATATAAGGGTGCACTTTTTATATCTATACTAATAAAAGCCGTGTGTTACGACTAAGAATAGCAAAAAAGCACAATCTCTACATTATCTACTTCTACAATTTAAATTAAATCAAAATTTACTAAAGCTTTAGTTGTTTGACATTAATTTGTGGAAGATTATTGTAAGTACATTCTTTACTTAGCGTCAAATAGTAATATGATAGTAGAAAATAATATGTACCATGGTTTCACGGCATGACTCTCGCCAGTGCATGTGCACTTTGAAAAAGTTTTAATCTACAATGGCAAAACATGGTTATAAATATTCATATAATTCAGGTGCTTTTTCTTTCGTGCCACACGGAAACGTGTAATTTGGTGCAAGACATAGTATGTGTGTGTAACACATTGCACAATGTGAAATGAATTGACATTGTAACTATACATATTGAAAGAAGATTAGAAAGATAGTTTGTATATTACGATACAATATCAATTTATTGTCATATCTTTCAGATAAACAGTAGTCCATACTACTGTTTACACATAACAACCGAAATAATGAGTTTACTTGTAACCAGAACCATAACTTTGTTAATGATGATAGGTAAATGGTTGTGATATAGAATTGAAATGTTAAAAAGCGACACATATAGCAAACCATAGCCCAGAACACAGACAATAATACGTTACAAAAGTATATACTTACGTTGAATATACCAACATATAAACGTCACCAATAATAATAATAGTCACTTTAATTTCTTGTAGAGATATAATAACGGACACCAAAGCCGATCCCACTGCCCACCATCCTTCAGATCAAGCAAAACTTTACACGCTGTGTGACCAGAAGCATATAATGTTATAAGACCCATACCATATCATTGTAGGAAGATCTATATAAAAGGAAATTTAGACTAGATAGCTGGACTATACACAATAATACAATACCATTTTCCCGGAGCCATCGGAACACAAAATATCATAGACATACGTTACAAATACCCAAAAGTACGTAGGTAGATCTTAGTATGAATTCTCCTATCCTTTACATGCACATGCATAATACCTGAGTGCTCCTGTTTCATCGTAGCTACCTAACCTTTGATAGATATTTGACTACGTACAAACTGAATGAATTAATGTAATTTAAAAAATTACAGGACATGGCTAATTCGCTTACAATGATCGTGTTGACTTGTGCATAACGTAATAGTTTGTTTTGTCTAGTGTTTTGCATAAGTCAACAGAGGAGTTTTATCACAAATATGTGATGAATGGTCATCAAATATCTGTCTTTAGTTCATGACGCGTTCCCGAGTAGTTGGTTTGTGAATGATGATGCAACTGACCTATGTTCCGGTACCGCAGCCACTGTGACTAGGGACAGCATGTGCATACCAGCCGTCATGGCCGCCAAGATGTGGAGTATGAACTGGAAACATTGGTACCGCCCGAAGTCACCTGGAAACACCAAAATATATAGATCAAACAAAGAACTATTGATTTTCAGCTAAGTTTTCGGTTGCTATAAATAAACTATTGCGAAGGTGACCCTGTCTTATGGATGGTATGCTATTTAGGTTACGACAATATTTTTCTTTGTAGATAAGATAGGCCGGCGACACAACCATGGGATTTTATTATGTTCAACGACACCCGGAATTATGCCATCAATATCAAAACGTTTAATTTTTATTATCTACCATCGTAAAATGTGTCGGATTTCATTGTCATTTAAAAAGATATATTTCATAAGTTTACATAATACCTACATAACATTATCTAAGTATGTCGTAAAAATATAAAACAAACTCAGTACTTAATTAGTTAATTATAAACATTGGAATATCTTATGAAAATTACCCTTAAACATTAAAATTAACTCGTCGAGTACCTACCGGTTTTGTAGACACAATTATAGAACAATAGGTTGCGGTCACCGGTGACCGCTTGGTGTTTGACAGTTTAAATGAACAGCTACAGATTTCCTCGTTATTATAGAACATAACTAGTCACACAATGTGTTCTTATATCAAACTAATTTGTTCACATGCCTAGGTTTACACCTTGACGTTATGTTTCTATTTATAATTTATTTATGATCATTTTAATTTCTATACCTCTACAAGGACGAATATATTTTAATATAAATGGTTAGTTACGTCAAAGACAGTAATGACATCCTCGTCGGCCATGTACGAATGTTAAACACGCGGTCCATGGTTCAATGCTCGATTTGACCAAATATTATGTTAAGGACTATTATTATATTGACGAGAAACTAGCACGTGTATATTTCAGCTTAGTTTTTTTTTATATTATCTGTACCTAACGTACCTATTATGCCACATTAATTAAACTACATAAAGTTTATAATTATCAACATTATTATAACCGATATTGTGTTACATGTTTGTGGTAACGAAGTACTATAATAAAAAATACTTACTATTTTGCCTTGAACTTATTTCAACTCATGTGGAAGACAATATTTTACTTAGAGGTCACATTATTTTACATATTGTATTTATGTAAATAGGTAGGTAACTATAGACATTGAATCGAGGCATAGAATTTTTTCCGTTCCGAATAATGCGCCATAAAAGTCTTGTACAAAATTTGTACAGCGAACTGCGAATTGCAGTGACCGTACCGAGCCGAGGACTAAATATAGCCCTGCACGGTACCTACTATAATGGAAGGATATAAGTAACGCAATTAATATCAACTGCAGTACCGGTTTCACCAACAACCAGAAATATGTCGGCACTTATTACAGTCACACCTGTCATATTCAATGGAATTTTCAAAAAGAACCTTAATCAGCCTGTTACCTCAGTAGTCCGGATCATTGATTTTCTGATAAAAACAAGCATTTATTACATGAGTGCGATAATTGCGGTAACACGTTATCTCATTTCGATTTTACGTTCGTTTTAATTTAAGCCTTCTTTGTTTCTTTGTAAGATTTAAAGTTAATCTTATATTTACCCACATTATAATATAATTTAACTACTTATTAAGAGGGCTCTTGTTTGTTGACAGTACAACAGAACGCTAGTAAACAGTTACAATCTCATTTAACTAAAATAAAAATTACAACCGCGGATACGTGTGCACTATGCACGTAAAGCTGGATACACACTTGAGATATTAAAACTTCAGCACACCAGTGGCCGTGACAAATACACGTGGCGAAACAGTACGATACTATGTACCCAGTACACAATATGTGACATGGCTATTACCGTCTACATTACAACTTTTGGCTCGTATAAACTGAAAATAGAAATTGACCACTAAAGAGGAATATTCCGGACGAATATTACAATGTAGACTCATCTTAACGTTTCATAATCTCAGAGACAGAATTAAATGACAGTGGAGTCGAGACAAAAGAGTTGCGTAATTACCACTCGAGTAGAAATTAGAAACGCTGCAAAACATTTTACCGTATGAATATGACGTGATGTTAAACTAATGTTAGGAAAACGCCAAGTGAAATAGTACATGTAACATTTTTGAATAATGCGATCATTACAAGGGTCGTTGTATACAATGGTCTGTGGCGTGGTATCGGCGCGGGCGTCGGGACCGATAACCCATAACCTCACCGCACTGTACTCGATCTGTCCGCTCACGCCCCTCGCATCTTATCACGTGCTTCGGTTTATAATTATTCACACAACATAACCAGTGAAGTGACTCGGCCATCAATCTTCGCCATGGCATTCGAGTTTACTGTCAAGGATATTTCGGATAACGTTTTATTCATATTATTTTTATCGCACAAGATACAACACTTCCGAAATCATCATTCTTCTGCGACATGTCTAATATTTGTACAAAACGTACGTTAGTCAATATTTTTAATGATATAGTGTAATTATAGTACAATTGTAGAAATTAAGATAATATTATCTTGCATGATAAACGGTGTTATACAACATACTCTAATTTATTTGAGATGTTTGAAAATGTATGTCGAATTTTAATGACATTTCCATTATTTTAAGTTTTCAACGCTACGATAAAATCGGTTTATGGTGCTATTGCACTCGTAAATGTTTTTCTTACTGCCTACACATTATGAATGAGATTTACGCTAACTACCCACCTATGCAAAAAGACTTACAGATTTAATAGCAAGCTATACCTATTACGTCCCCGAGCGTACGGCGCGTCGCGTTCCGCGCGCGCCTCAAAGAGCCATCAGACCACCACAGATGGGGCCCAATAGGGCCGATGCCGATTCGGAGTCGCGGAGAACCTAACGGGTAACCGGGGCTCCGGCTCGACGTGCAGGAGAAGGAACGGGGTGGTTTTTAGTCAGTAAGAGTCTGACACTCCCTCCCGCCTCACCCAGGCGGGGGCAGTCATTCGATGATTTTCCCCCCTTAAAAAAAAAAAAAAAAAATACCTATTACGTGTAGTTGTGTAAGTAGTATTATATTTTTTAATATTTTACTATGATGGTGAACTAAATAAATTACTAACTACCTTAAAAGAATAATGACCTAATTCTAATGAATAAAAGTAATAGTTCTCACAAATTGGACACTCGAACGTTTTAAAACTACGGAAGAATCGTTAAAGTAATTTCGTAAACGAATTGTAATGTAAGTAAAATCAACAGTAGCACTTACGTGGGTACTCAAGGCTAGGAAGCACATGGTCACTCAAAGGCCAATACTCTGGTGATTCGGTGTCATAAAATTAGATAGCCGATCTAAATATTCAAACCTTTTATGTAACTTTACGACTATATGACGAGAACTAAGACAATGGCTCTTCATTATGTGTGAACTGTGTGGAAAATTTCTTGTCACGACTTGGCCGATAGCAAATATAACTAAAAACAATAACGTGCTCATTATAAGTCAGTCAGTACAGTACTTAGGTTTCCTAGACCGTCAACAAGTGTAAGATCGGAACGTCACGCAACACGTATTGACTATTGACACAGATGCAGACCTCGATAACACTACTGCGACCGATAACATAAACCTCAATAAAGGTTTCACGATGATTTTAATATAAAACATTTCCGTTCATGTAACTTTCCGCGGACTAATAAAAATTTTACATGCTTCTTTCTGCCGATAATTAAAATTAAATTAAATTTTTATCTCACCAAGGCTGTCGCTACATATACGGTGTGTTTGTTTTACTGTGGTGTTAATTTAATAAAATAAATACTACTTGTAGGTAAGGTACATAGCTAATTTATTATTCATCTGTACTTGACTTACTTTTGTCATAAATAGATTTTGTGAAAGTCGTTCCAATGGTCTTGGGAGTGAGCGAAAAACTCCCACATGTCATCTGTGCGACATTCTTGGAATTGGTGTAATTAGCATACCGAAGCTTACCCGTGGCCACAGGCAGACAATTAATTGCAAATTGGAGGTCGCCGGTAAACTGTACTTATGGAGAATTTAAGTGCTGCAGTCAACGTACTCACACAGCTGGAATGCATTACCAATGTACCTACAATGCATTTTACAATCCATGCTAAGGACATCTACACGTTATCTATGTTGCACTTGCACTAAAATACAAGGTTCTCCGTTCGATTCCAAATAAACATATTCTTGAGTTTAATAGTTGTACGTGTCATGGTTTTTGGATTTGTGCCCGTACATAACTAGGTTATAAGATTAAGAGCAAAACGTTCCTGTACATTATTTACGATGTTATGAGAATTTGTTTTGATTTCGTTCAATATGACATTTCATTGAACTCGGAGCATAGAATTATTGTGTTATTTCAACACAAGACCAGAATAAACGACATGTACCTACCTACCACATAAAACAATCTCAAAAGGTTATTTACTCGAAAATTTTGTTGTTTTACCGAATCCGCACTGAAATATAAATGTGTCATTCCTTAATTCATACACAAATAAGATCATTCATATGTTTTTGACTTTGTTGTATTAAAATAGGACGACGAAAACATGTTATTGAGAAATTTTGTGTGGACTGCAGAGAATAGTGTGATAATTATAAGTGGTCCGAATAATCTGACACAAATTTTGGTCTATTATCGTCACATACACATATTAATATACTACGTATCAGCTGTATAGTCCACCGAACTGATTTAGGTACTTCTATAGTATTTTACAGGTCAGTGACCCAGAAAACCGCCTTTATTACACTTGTAATTATGAAAATGTAGTGACAAAGAAAACTCTCATAAATTGAATTGGAAATATTTGGTTATCGAGAGCAATAAGTATCTATACTTCACGTTTTGTACATCATACAAGTGTTTTTTTTCGCCGATAACCTCCAATTTTACCTAAACCTACATAAATTAAAGAGTAATTTTATTTACTGATACCTAACTAAAGTAAATATTTCTTTTATTTCAACCAAGTGATGTTACTAGGAACCAACAAATCGAATCTTTAATTGTTTACGATAATCGGTTCCTAATCTATAAATAAGTGA